ACACGTACAGTATGCTACTTCCTAGAATTGTGATCCTTTCCTCCCCAAAATCTCCCCTATTGTGCACATGAATGAACTACAAATATAGGTACCCTGGTCATCACAGCTTAAAATACACCAGCTCTTTATAAGTTGATGAGCACAAAAGCGACATGCTGTGTAGATGCAAGCCGCACTGTGTCTGTTATTATGGTTCAATGTTCACAGTTCCCTTTCATCCAACAACACAGTGTCTATGCCTGGGTTCACAGCTACCTGTGGAGGTATAATCCTACATATGCCTGAAGTATGTTCTCTAGCTCACTGTCCATCTATCCTCTCAGAACACAATGGGAACAAAATTTCAGCTAATGCAGGGAAGTTTAGTCTTACCAAGCAATCATATGCATATCTAGTCAGAAATAAGCCTGTCTGAGTTCAGCTGGACTACCTTCCAGGTATATCGAGGTAGCCAGTTTGATATCTTTTTTAAAACATAGGTAGTGTGGTTGCTGACCTTGAGCCAGACATCCTGGAAAGTGAAGTCAAATGGGCCTTAGAAAGCACTGCAAATAACAAGGCCAGTGGAAGTGATGGTATTCCAGCTGAACTATTTAAAATTTTAAAAGATGATGCTGTTAAGGTGCTACACTCAATATGCCAGCAAATTTGGAAAACTCAGCAGTGGCCAGAAGATTGGAGAAGATCAGTCTACATCCCAATCCCAAAGAAGGGCAGTGCCAAAGAATGCTCCAACTACCGCACAATTGCACTCATTTCACACGCTAGCAAGGTTATGCTTAAAATTCTACAAGGAAGGCTCAAGCAGTATGTGGATCGAGAACTCCCAGAAGTGCAAGCTGGATTTAGAAGAGGCAGAGGAACCAGAGACCAAATTGCAAACATGCGCTGGATTATGGAGAAAGCTAGAGAGTTCCAGAAAGACATATACTTCTGCTTCATTGACTATGCAAAAGCCTTTGACTGTGTCGACCACAGCAAACTATGGCAAGTTCTTAAAGAAATGGGAGTGCCTGATCACCTCATCTGTCTCCTGAGAAATCTCTATGTGGGACAAGAAGCTACAGTTAGAACTGGATATGGAACAACTGATTTTTCAAAATTGGGAAAGGAGTACGACAAGGCTGTATTTTGTCTCCCTGCTTATTTAATTTATATGCAGAATACATCATGCGAAAGGCTGGGCTGGATGAATCCCAAGCTGGAATTAAGATTGCCGGAAGAAATATCAACAACCTCAGATATGCAGATGACACAACCTTGATGGCAGAAAGTGAGGAGGAATTAAAGAACCTTTTAATGAGGGTGAAAGAGGAGAGCGCAAAATATGGTCTGAAGCTCAACATCAAAAAAATGAAGATCATGGCCACTGGTCCCATCACCTCCTGGCAAATAGAAGGGGAAGAAATGGAGGCAGTGAGAGATTTTACTTTCTTGGGCGCCATGATCACTGCAGATGGTGACAGCAGCCACGAAATTAAAAGACGCCTGCTTCTTGGGAGAAGGGCAATGACAGGCCTAGACAGCATCTTGAGAAGTAGAGATGTCACCTTGCCAACAAAGGTCCGTATAGTTAAAGCCATGGTCTTCCCAGTAGTGATGTATGGAAGTGAGAGCTGGACCATAAAGAAGGCTGATCGCCGAAGAATTGATGCTTTTGAATTATGGTGCTGGAGAAGACTCTTGAGAGTCCCATGGACGGCAAGAAGATCAAATGCATCCATTCTTAAGGAAATCAGACCTGAGTGCTCACTGGAAGGACAGATCGTGAAGCTGAGGCTCCAGTACTTTGGCCACCTCATGAGAAGAGAAGACTCCCTGGAGAAGACACTGATGCTGGGAAAGATGGAGGGCACAAGGAGAAGGGGGCGACAGAGGACGAGATGGTTGGATAGCGTTTTTGAGGTTACCAGCATGAGTTTGACCAAACTGCGGGAGGTAGTGGAGGACAGAGGTGCCTGGCGTGCTCTGGTCCATGGGGTCACGAAGAGTCGGACACGACTAAACGACTAAACAACAACAACAACTTATAAAAGCATACAATGGAAGGCCACTGAAAGAGAAAAGATTCCATGAGCAAGCTAGCTGGAATTAGATTTTCCCTGACACAGTGACAACTATAACTACAAAGCAGTGTACTGATAAGTTAAAATGAATCTGTGTTGTTTGAAGAGCTTTGTTGATACTTTGCCATGATCTTTTTCCTGTTCAAATATAGCCTTTTGTTCCAAGGAAAGCCTTGTTGAGAATCCAAAAATAGAGACTGTAGTAAGGAAACATATAAGCCTATAGGACGAAAATGGCAGGTATTGCAATCCACCCTCTAGCATGTGCCACGAAGGGTATAGAGTGGAAACAAGCTGCTGCAAGACAGATTGTTGCTGCACTCAGGTACAGTGTTGAAATAAGATTTCACCAGTGTAATTCAAACTATTTATTTGAGTCTTATGTGGTGTGATATTTTGGTTAATGTTGGACTGGGAACTGGGTTCAAATTCTCATGCAGGCATGGAGCCCGCTGGGTGGCCTTGGGCCAGTCACAGTCTTTTAACCTAACAGAATTCACAGGATTGCTGTGAGGATGAATTGAGTAGGTGGGGAAGACCTTGAAGCTAGCATCCTAGTCAAACCAATAATGGATGGCATGCTGTTGACCACTGTAAGAACCAAGATTTCATAAGCGATGCTCAAATATTTGCCAGAACACACAAAAGGTTATTCTGGGGGTGGTGCAGAGCAGCAAATAAAAGCCACGCACCTAGCATCCTGATGCCTAGGCTGCTCTTCAGATCTTTGTACAATTACTACAAAGGTCTGGACATGATTTTTAAGGGTGCTCAGTTTAGGAATTCCCATGATTCAAAACTCTGATAAGTCAGATTTTTTGTTTGTGGGCAGGTTTTTAAGCGTGTTAAACACAGTTTGAAACCCAGCCTATACTTTTGTGCTAACCATGCAAAGATTGTAAGAGCACCCCTGGGATTCTGGGGGTTAGAACTTGTTTGTATGCATGCCCTTTCTCCATCTGCAGCTAAACTTCAGAATGTGGGTCTGAACACAGCTATAGTTAAGATATTAATATGCAGTTAGGATTATTATTCATATATTATTATTATTGAGTTGAAAATGTTGTCCTCATTACAAAAAAGTAAAGAAAGAACTCTTAACTAGTCCGAATTGTCCCAGATGTCCAAAATATTCCACACATTCAGATAAACAAGAGTTCTATTTACAGAGGTTTTCACTGACCCTTGGTCTGATCATTCATAAAAGTTGTAGAGTTTCGATTGCACAGTTTCTTTTGAAATTTGCTACATTGGGCAGGTGAGTAAAAAGCAAGAGAACGAAAATGTGTTCATAAAGGAAAGGAAGCTTTGGGGTTAAGCCATCCATTGAAAAAGGGCCCTTTGAAGGTGCAGTGATTCAGATCAGGGTTTGGTATTTTTTTAAGCCAAACTGAAGACTATCAAGACTGATGTTGAAACTTACTTTCTTTAAACACACACACATGGTGAGTTTGGAAGACTCACTGCCTACCTAATTCCCAGAGGTGCTGGAGGTTGTTGCATTCCCCAATATTTTTGCAACGCCAAATAAATGGGCATTGAATACAATTATTGGGTTGAAACCTGACTGGGGGTCCATCTGCACAACACATTTAAAGCAGTATCATATTACTTTAAACAGACATGGTTTCCCCCAAAGAATCTTGGAGCAGTCATTTGTTAAGGATGCTGAAAACTGTGAGACCTGTTCTCCTCACAGAACTACAATTCTTAGAGTGGTTTAGCAGCAATACCTCCTCCCCAGAAACTCAGGGATTTGTAGCTCTGTGCATCAAAGGCCTATCATGTGATAAGTCATATGAGATTTGCCAGGGATGTTGTTGCATTCCAACTCCCAGCCAGTGTGGCCAAGGATTATGGAGGACCACAGGCTCCCCACATGCATATGCATTGCCCAGATCCTTTTGAGATAGTCTTTTTTACCTTTTCTGGCTGTGTGGACAAAGTTTTCTAACTAGAGATGCTCCAAATACTAAATCCAGGTGGAGTGGTCACTTGACCCTACAAGGCCTCACTTCACTAAACTCTGCTTCCAAGGATGAACTGTTGGTAGGTAACTTCTTCTTTGGCAATCACTCATAGCCGAGTAAGATTGTCTTTCATGAACACGGTTTTAACAGTGAGTTCGTAAGTGATTGTGGAGGCCAATTCTGGATCCATACATCCTTCCACAGTGGGGACGTTGGTTTCCTGGCGGGAGTTGATCATGGTGAGGGTTTACCAAGCGTGCCTTCCTCTTAGCACATTTCTCCCTTTCGTCCTGACTTTGAGTGTTTTCAAAGTCCATGACACTTTGGTAAAGACTGTTCTCCAATTGGAGTGCTCGCAGGCCAGTGTTTCCCAGTTGTCGGTGTTTATGCTACAGCTGTGGTTGAAGCTGTGTATATGGTATATACACAGCTTCAACTACAGCTTTCTGAAAGTATGCTGAACTATATTTTGAATAAATGAAAGCCCAACCTCCAGATGCCTAAACTATCTCTTGCTTACTTTGAATAAAAAGTCACTGACACATGGAATCCTGGTATTCTTAACCAGGGATTAAGAAATACATGTATTATTGTTGTGTTTTGTGGTCATACTTTAGATGTGAATGACTGGTAGCATTTGCCCTTTGTTCTTATTCCTTCCAAAGCATAGGATTTTTTGTTGCACTTGCAGGAACTTGAGATGCAGTTCGTGATATGGTAAAAGTTGAAATCCTTTTTTGGTGTGCAAAAACTGTCTGGTCTTGTGGCCGCCCTTTTTCCAAAAAACAAAAAAACAATCCTGAGTGTTCAGAGCTTAAACTAAGCACTAAATTAATTCCAAGGTATTTCATGTGATCAATTTAAATACAAGATGAAAAATGTTTGCTTGCGTCAATTACTCTTGACTTCCCAGTGTTGAACACACTGAAGAGCTCACAGTAAAACAAAACAAAAAGCAGCATATTTTTTTAGGCAATCCAACAATATATTTAGATGGGGGGGAATGCATAGCCGCCAATATAAAATGCAGAAGTTATCAATCCATGTTTCACATAAGGAATTGGGTTAACTCATTTTAGAAAAACAATGTCGTTAGTGGAAACCATTTGAAAACTTAGCAGACTGAATAAATATTTAATTAAAAGCCCTAGAACTTTTGACATGAAAAGTGAAACATTTAGTGTGTTAGCAATCAAACCAGAAGTCAGTCTTTCAAGGTTGGAAACAATGCAGAATCTGGAGATTACACATCATTTCCAAACGGAATATACATTATGTGTATGTGTGATCATCATAATTTGCTTTATGGACACATGATGATCCACACACATTGCATGCTCTTTCCTACCAGGAAGTGCTTTTACTGCACAGTCTTCCCTAGCCTGGTACTTCCAAATGTTTTCAACTACAGGCTCCCATCTGCCTCTGTCAGCATGACCAATGGTCAGGGATTATGGGAGCTGTAGTATAAAACCACCTGTAGGGAATAAGGTTGGGGAAGGCTGATCAGGTGGTCCTCCAGTGTCCTGGGGAAGTGGTTTTCTCCAGCCTGCCCTACAGCTGTTAGGGGCTGATTGAGACCTGTTGCATGCAAATGATGTGCTCTGCCACTGAGCTACGGATCTTCTCAGTTAAGTCCAGTGGGGTTTATTCTCAAGGAAGTGAGTGCAGGATTGCAACCTTAATCATGGCAGAACAGCCCTGAACAGCAGACAGACAAGCACTGGTTTATGTCAAAAAGTTAAAGCACATTTACAGTGATTGCAAAAAATAAAATAATGAGTAGTGATGTTTTGCAATCCATATAATTTTGGGAGTCAATTTGTGAGAAACTTAAAAGCACAGAATGCCCCACAAATATTGATTAATTGAAAAGCAAAGGGGGAAAAGAAAACCAACAAAATTTTCCACACTGGATTCACACAAAGTGATTCCCTACAGCATGGCTGGGGGCTGTTGAGAAACAATCACATTTGTTTCTAAAACGTAAGAGCACCATAGGATTGCAATAAATAGCATAAGGGGCAGAGAATTTCAATAAGCTTGAATAATATTCAGTGGAGCCACTCAGCTGGGAGTAAGGCAGAATGGGAAGGCAAGCAAGTTTCAGCAATCTCTCCTCCCAATGAAAACCCCAGTGGGTGACAGAAGGATGGGGCTTTAGGGGGAAGGAAAACAGTTGAAAATTGCTTCTCTCTCTGCTCCACTGATGAAACCCTTATCATCAACTGAGTGTCACTGTTGAATACGAACCTCTGTGGGGGTTTTTGCAGGAATGTCCCCCCCCCCCGGCTTAGCGGACCACTGCACCTTTAATATGATCTGCGCAGGACTGAAAAAACTACAAAATGCATGCATGCACATACATAACATGAGTGATATTTCCTAGTTAACCTTCAACACATTCTGGAATGCCTGTAATTCCAGGGTGTAGGTAGAAATGGACTGTATGATGCATAACTTAATACCTATAAAAATCACCAATGACTTGATGAGTAAACCCAAGCAAAGAAAGTTATCCAAACGAAAGCTGCATTCCTAAATCATTTGCACCAGTGAATTTCCCTTACAGTCAGCCTGGAAGCCATCATACCTGAGGTACCCCTGTTAAAAAATTGCCTTCTAGCACTTGACAGTTCTTTAGAGGACACGAAGAACTGAAGATACCTGATTGCTAGTCCTTTGCAGCCTGGACCTAAGCAGGTTTACTCTGAAGCAAGCACCACTGGAGTTCAGCAGGGCTTGCTTCCCGTGAGTCGGCCTGCAGTTCTCAACAGCAGCATTAGAACTGCAGGTCCTGTACCTGGAAAATCCCCATGTTGTCAGTTATGTTCAATACCCTAAACCAAAAACATTAATTAAAATCCATTATTTTTATGACGTATTATTTCTTTGTGTAGTAGGAACAGCCTTCTCCTGCTTTTCCTTTTTAAAGGTGATATGGTTTCAGTATTCTTTCCAAATTCAAAAGCTGCCTAGTAGTCATACCGACTGAACATAAGATGCACAGGCGCACAGAACCCCGGAAGTAGGTGCAAAAAACCTCTGGCACTGGAGGTATTCCCAAGAAATTATTCGCCATTCAATATACGCTCAATCTCTTCTAGTCTCTTCAGAGCGGCAACCCTTTTTTTCTCAATGTCTTTGATTTCTTTTGTAGACTTCTTTTTCGTCTCTTTGTCTGTGGTGTTTTTCTCCCCTTGTTTCTTGGGCTTTGCCTGCCCTTTGTTGCTGTCACTGTTTGTGGTCCGAGAGCTCCTCTGTTCATTTTTGGCCACTTTCAAGTTTTCGTTTTTTGCCCCTTTCAAGTCTTCAGGAGGAGTTTTCCCTACTTCCGAAGCTGTCATCTTTTCCGCGGGAATGGTAGCTGCTTCTCCGGTACCGAGCAAAGCGATTTTACTTCGGACTATGCTCAAGTGACGCTGGATGTATTCCTCATGCGGCGCTAAGGCCAGAGTCTCCACCAAACACTTCTCCGCTTTGATCAAGTCCCGCTCCTCAAAATAAACCACACAAAGGTTGTGTTTCCCTTGTACGTTGTTAGGGTCCATTTTCAGAATCTTCTCAAAACACTCCTTAGCTCCCCGTATATCTTTCTTTTGGTTCATCAAAATGTCTCCCTTCAGGATCAAACCTTTGGTATGATCAGGGTAGTATCTTAACAGCTCTTCTAGAACTGGCAAAGCTTTCAACTCCTTTGCAGTCTGGGAATAAAGCAGCGCCAAATTGAACAGAGCGCTTCGGAAGCCCGGCTGCAGCTTTATGGCTTTTTTCATCCAGGTTTCTGCCTCAGCATCCTTTTTGTCATCCATTGCAAGCATGCCCAAGTTGAAATAGCCATTTGCATCATGAGGCTCTTCTTTCACATAATTTAGAAGTCTTTTCTTAGCTTCCGGCCTAAGTCTAGCATCACCTAAAGGAAAGAGGGGGGAAGTATTATGAAATTGTCCTTTTGCTGCACAGCTGTGACAATACAGAGCATGAATATATTGTAAACGAAAGTGATCACTGTGTAGTTTTAGCTGCACGCTGTGCATGCTCTGTTTTCCAATAATAATAATAATAATAATAATAATAATAATAATAATAATAATAATAATGGGAGGAAGGAGAGACAGAGCTTCAGTGAACGACTGACAGCAACTGAGTTTGAATGCGAAAGGAGGACATTGCAGGAAGACATTGCAGCACACCAGACCCATAAAATTGGACCCGAAGAGGAAGTGATTTCTAGAAGGTCACTAATGACAGGAGAGATGTGAATGCCATGAATACAGAATTCTGAGGGGCTCAGTAACTAGAAAATGGCAGTCAAACACAGCACATGGTGTCCATTGGTGCCCTACGATGAGAAGAATCTGAGATTTTGTTCTGGAGGAATAAAAGACTCGCCAGAACCCCTCAGTGAATAATAAGAGGGTTTAGGGGGGCTATGGGAATACTGAGCCTAAAGGCGGGGGGGGAACTTATGCTGTAGGCAAGGCCATGAGTAATATCACATTAGTATTAAATCTAAACTGGAACAGTACTCAGGACTTACTTAACCATGCAAGGGTGTTGAAGCTGAAAAGAATGAGAATTCAATGTTGTCTCCTCCATGGATGGAAAGGATTTTGTTTGGCAACTCCTGCTTCTCCCCAGCCCAATCTGTTCTGGATGGTCCCAGCACCCTCTGGAGAAGGTTTAGGGAGGGAATGGGGTGGGGACGAAGAGAAATCACTGGAAATCATCTTACACCCTCCTTCACCAACTGATGTTCTCTATCAGTGGAGGAGACATCATTGAACACTGCCAACTGTACTAATTGCACCATTTGTTGCTGTTCTTTGAGGTGTAGATAAAACACTGTCCTGCTCATGCACCTTTTAAAGGGGTTCAGGGACTGTTTTGTACTCATGTGCTCTGTGTCAAGCTAAGGTGGAATCTACAAACATATAAAAAAACGCTGTGGAAATGTTTTTTTTTTAAAAAAAGTTTTGAAAAATATATTGAATTTGCCATAGCTCACCATCACCATCTAGAGTCACATTTGTATATTTGCAGCTGCATAGCTGAGTCCTAAGAAACATAACACAGCCCTTGGTGTGCATGTAATACATTTGTGAGTTTTAAGTGAACACACACATACCGGATTCTTGCATTAGTAGTGCAGAATTAAATAGTGCTAGTTTATGACTAGGATTCAGTTCTAATGCCCTGTTGAAGTTCTTCAGAGCTTCCGTCGGATCTTTCAGTTCAATGTAAACAATTGCCAAGTTATACCACAGGTCTGCATTGCTCCTATCCAGTTCGAGGGCTCGAAGGTATGCTTCCTTGGCTTGCAGAGGTTTGTTCATTTTCAGAAGCAGTTCGCCCCTGTTGAGGAATCAAACTCAATGAGTCTGACGTCTTTTGAATACAAAGTAAGACACAGAGCTTCCAGAGTGAGAGACTAACTGGATGGCCCCACATCTTTAGAAGAACAAGATCTCAAGTTGAAAAGGGGGCCTTTGTTACTTGAGATCAACATAGATCAATTTGTAAAATAGATTTACACATCCCTAAAAGAAATGAACAACATGAGCATTGGCTGGCTTTCCCAACCAGGTGCCCACTAGATGTTTTGAACCTCAGCTTCCATCAACCCCAGGCAGCATGGCCAGTGATCGGGAGTGGTGGGCTTTGCAGTCCCACAACCACCATGGTGGGTACCAGGTTGGACATGGCTGATCTATGGGCTTGCCCACTCTTGCAGTTACACCCTTCAAGAGTCAATTTTGGAGGCAGATAATCCCTGCAGATGTTCTCTGGACTCCACTATGTCTGACCACTGACCATGCTGGCTAGGGCTGAGGGGAGTTCAACCACATCTGGAGGGGCACAGGTTCCCCACCTCTGTCCTATTTTGCTCATGATGCATTTAGTCAGCTTCTTAAGTGCCAAAGGGTTCTGTTCTCATTTCTTAATAGCATTCTGGAAGGAGAAGGAATGCCCAGCCTGGCCTTTTCAAGAGTGCATTCCAAGCTCATGAACTCCTTTGTTTTATTATTATCTGAAGTGTGCACAGGATGAAGAGCTACAACCAGATGCAAAAGGAGGACCCGTCCAGCTTGGCTGGCTGCAGCAGTACATTCCTTGCTCATTCTAAATAGTTCCTTTGTGTTATCCAAGCAGTCACGGGGCTGGAGTTAGACCCAGTGTACAGGGGAAAGCCCTTGAGACTGGACATGTATTCTTTCCCAGATCATCTCAAAAAATAAGTTGTAGTGTTATGACAAGTCTACACCAAGAACTTTAAACATGTCTCTGTCCAGAATCTAACGCTAAATATGGACGGATAATGGTGTGCTGCTCTGGCTGTGTGCAAGGGTATTTCCTGCAAAGAAGGAGATACATCTGTAGGGAATTCTAACTATGCATCTTTGTTGATGCTGAATCATAAGGTCAAAACTTTTTGTTTTAAGTGACCGGTGTAGATGATGGTAATCTAATTCCTTTCCTTTGAAACATAGGGAAATGTGAAATGTTTTCCTGCTCCAGTAACTTTGAACCTGAACCTTTCACACCTATGCATCTTGCCAAAGCTGATTGTTACAGGAGACGGTCAATGGAAATGGGGACCAGGTTCCTGGGAAGCTGAGGGAGCAAAAAAACTATGTGAAGGACAACATTATTATGCAGTAGGGCAGCCATTGCTAGGTGGGGATGATGGAAGCTGTAGTCCAAAATGGCTGGAGGGCACCAGGTTGGCAAAGACTATAGTAAGTCATGAGGCACTTTCTTCTCATCAAGGCCCAAGGTTATAAAGAGATAACCCTCTTGCCCAGCTGAGAGATGTCTTAAAGCAATATACCTTGCCCCCTTATTCACAGCACACTATTTTACTTACATTAATGAATGCCTGGAAATATCTCAAAACATAAATAAATACCTGCTTATGTACGCCTGTTTGAAGTCTGGCCTCATGCTAATGGCTTGGCGATATAACTGGTCTGCTTCTTCAAGGCGAGACTCATTCGCTCGAATCAGGTTTGCAAGATTGATATAAACATTCAGGTGGTTAGGAGCGACTCGGGCAGCGTATTTTTTACCTGGAATAATCTGATAGCAGAAGAAACTGTTCTTAGGCCTTGAAGGCATTAAAATGAGCTGAATGACAAGACCTTAGTTGGTCTCTAAGGTGCTACTGGACAATTTTTTCAATTTATTTTGACAAGATCAGCAACGGTGTCCAGACATATCTTTAAACCATAGTTAGGTTTAGCTACAGTTTACGGGTTGAAGGACACAACATGCTGGTGCACAGCTCTTCCCTTCTGCTACATGGCTTGGTTTAGCATCTGAACCGAAGCTCATACTTCGTTTCCCTTGACAAATCATGAGCAGCAAGCCCAAAACAAAACCTTGGTTACAGCTCATTTTTTGGGGAGAGAAACCACAAATCTGGCTTTGTGTCTAACACTAAGGAAAATAATAACTTAGCTTCCAGCAGCAGAGACTACGATTTTCAACCTGTGCACCAGTATGCTTGCCCATTCACCTTTCAGCTACGGTTAATCTTAACTATGGTTTAAAGTGACTTGCAAACCAGGGCTATGTAGTAAAAACAGCAGATTTATATATATCTTTTAAAAACTGCTTAAACAAAGATATATCTCAAAATATTATTTTCAAAGAAAGAGCTACTTCCATTTGCACCAAAAGTAAACATGTCATTGCAGAGCCATGCAGTGAATGACCTGCAGGCAATATCTAGACTGCATTATTGTAATTTTTTTAAAGGAATGCAGAAATTTTAGGAAGCAGAGCAGAGTTAAGTTCCACTGCTACCACTCGGGCAGGCTTTCAACGATTTGCTGCTCCACACTGTACAAAAGCGACTGAAATTCTGGATCTTGATGAATGACCTGCAGGCAATATCTAGACTGCATTATTGTATTTTTTTTAAAGGAATGCAGAAATTTTAGGAAGCAGAGCAGAGTTAAGTTCCACTGCTACCACTCGGGCAGGCTTTCAAAGATTTGCTGCTCCACACTGTACAAAAGCGACTGAAATTCTGGATCTTGATGAATCGTGCAAATAAATGCACAGCTTCTTTTGACCACAATTTTATATGTTCTTCCAAGATAACGGAAAGGTTAAGTCAGGATGCTGTAATCCACACAAATAATTAATGAAAAGGAAGAAGAAACTCTGTTGCTTTTAAAATGATATTCCGGATCTACTGAAAGTACATTTGAAGAACTGTTGTCCTACTTACTTGTGGCATCAATGATTTTGCAATCAAGTAAGATTCTTCAGCTTCTTTGGTTCTGTTTAAGTTTTTATAAGTCCTTCCTACATTCATGTGGGCACCAATGTCATCTTCACATGTAAAGAAACGAATATTCATATTTCTTTTCCCATAAAAACATTTGCCTTGGGAATAATGTTAAATGGCATCCAAAGATATAATAAACAGGCACAAGTTTTATTCAGAATACAACACCTATGCCAAGTATGGTTGAATACAATTGCCTGGTTCTCATACAACATAAAGCCATCGTTTGCTAAAAAACAAACAAAACCTTGGCTTGTTCGATTGTCCAAACCCAGCCCAGTGGCTTAAATATGTTTGCTACCAAAGAACCAAAATCTGAAGACATGGTTTCCTATTAGCTCACAAACCTTAATTTGTTTAAACTATGGCTTGGTGGAATGTGCAATGCTGTCATCTTTCCTTAACCATAGTTTGTTTGGTCATCCCCACTCTAGACATTCACCAGCTATGAAGGCACAAGACAAGAATAGCTGGAAAATGAACCAAACTTTGCAGAAACAAGGCATGGTGTGAATGTCTTCTCTGGCTAATATTGTTTTACAATACAGTTACAAACCCCTTTCAATACCTTTTTGAAATATTGCTATTGTTGAACTGAGGATACAAAATAAGCTAGCCAGCCATACACCCTCGTAAATAATACAGACCCCCTATGACTTCACAGTTTTAAGCAGTCTGTAATTATGCAAAGACAGAGTACAATCTTTATTTCCTGGCCAGTCCCTCCAGAAAATTGTTTCCAAACTCACCAGGTTGCACTTGGGTGGCTTGTATGAAGAATCTCAATGCCCTTTCAAAATTCTTTTCATTTTCCAAAGCATGGCCCACATTATTCCAGAGTTTAGCATTGTTCTTATTTACCTGACCACAGAGAAACAAACTTAAGTGCATCCAACACAGGCATGTGCCATACAAATTTAAGTAATGCAGTTTTTTTGATTTTGAAAGCATTAGCCTATCTGCCAAATCCCTTGGACTGGGTGGAGGGGAACTGGATAACACTCATATCCAACCAAATAATTGTCCTCATGGAATGACTTTTCCAAGCACAAGGGTACTTTCCCTCCCTCTCCCCCCACATTATCGTCCCCCTAATCTGCTCTGGAGTTCCAACACTCTGGAGTAGATTTGGGGGATATGGCAGGTGGTGTGCAAGGAAGCTAAGGAAGGAAGGGGGGGTTAGTTCTACTGCACTTGTGGAAGTCGTTTGGTGCACACTATGCTGTAGGGTTGTGCTCAATTAAGTACCTGTCTGTGTAGGACCGTCTTTCATACATGGGAGTTCCATGTGTGCACTGTAACTTCAAAGGACTTTTGAAACTGAGCTACTCAATGCAGAGAAAAAAATCTACAGAACTCATAATAGAAAAATGATTTTTTTAACTCATGGTGGATTACAGCAATGCACACACATATTTCCTAGTGGCTTGTGCAGAAAATGCCTGTTAAATCTAAAACAGGGGCAGGCACAACAATGTTTCCCTGTAATATCCAGGTATCCTTTCCCCCTAAATCTATTTCATGTGTGCTTGGGAAATCTGACTCCTCTATCTACTTTCTTCCTATAGAGACTCTATTGAGATTTAAACTGAAACTTGTATTTTCCCCAGTAGCTTTACCTGTCAAACAACAGATATATCCAACACAATCCCCTTTAGAAGTTCAGATTTCAATTCAACACTATATTAAGGGGCTATATTGAGGAACCCTTTCTGGGTTTTAAATGAACGATCTGTAAGAAGCCATAATACAATTTAATTTTTGGATGTGTACTTTTAGATATGAAGCTCAGAGTTTCACATTTGAAGAAAAAAACACCAAGAGAATTTGGTCATCCTGGGCACCACTGTACAGAATACACTCAAATGTTTTTACAGATCTGAAGTTCTTTTCTATGATGAGAAGTAAGAGAAAGTTGGAATCGCAATATTGTACCTTCAAGGCAGACATGAACAGTGTATATTCCGATTCCCAGTCCCAGTTCCTGTGCAAGGTTTTTAAGGCATGGATAAACAGCACCAGAGAGAGGCAAACCCAGGATAGCTTTCTTAGGACACTGGGAAGAAAAAGGCGGGAGGAGCAAGTTAAAAAAACAACATTTAATTCCATTTCTATCATTGGATGATAGACACCCCAACCGTGCAAGCAAATACCAGACTTGCCCCATATGAACCCATCTTACTTTCTTGGCCACCCAGCCCCATCAGAGCCATGCATTTACTCCACCTTTTCACACTTAGTTCCCCACTAGAGTACAGTGCCTGCCGAATGGAGTTGCCCACATTGTTTCAAACAGCTTGGAAACAAAGCAAAATAAAATAAAATACGGATGTTAAGGTGCCTGAAATGCTCTGAACCTGCAGCTGATTTTTATCCACCCTTCAAACTGGGGATTAAGACTTTTCAGAAGTCATTTCTGCTCTTAATGCTATAATTGGTTATATCCTTTCATTCAATTCTCCAAGGATTTTGTAGGATGCTTGGAAGGCTCTCTGTGTTGAGAGAATTGTGAACTGGCTTGACGTCTATAAACTGTGGCTATAATCTTTAACTCCCCATAAATGGCAGGACTCTTAATCCTCCAACTGTCAGATAACGGCTTTCAAAGATTTGGAATCTAGCTGCAATGGCCAAATTAATGAAGACGTCCGCCTACACGACAAATAAACAGCAATCTGAAACATTTGACCAGATTTCTGTAAAGAAATGTTAATGGTTTGGGACATTTAATACCAGTAAGGTATTTCTGCTGCTTTTGTAAAAGTTATTCCTTAACTGGTTTCTTATTGATACTACAGTGGTACCTCAGGTTAAGTACTTAATTCATTCCGGAGGTCCGTTCTTAACCTGAAACTGTTCTTAACTTGAAGCACCACTTTAGCTAATGGGGCCTCCTGCTGCCGCCGGAGCACAATTTCTGTTCTCATCCTGAAGCAAAGTTCTTAACCCAAGGTACTATTTCTGGGTTGGCGGAGTCGGTAAGCTGAAACTTATGTAACCTGAAGCGTATGTAACCCAAGGTACCACTGTATTTTCCAGATTTTAAAATACCAGCACTAATACTGTGCTTCATGGACCAATGCTAATAATTCTGCTGTTCATGTCATTCCAGAAATTCTGTGGTTTTATAGTACTCATCTAAGAGGTAATCTAAATAATTCACAGACAAGACATTAATAGGGGATAAGCAGTAGAAGGGACCATGAGCAGCAGGAGAGAGGGCAGACAACAATTAGGCAGCAGCAGCAGAAGAGAAGAGAAGGGAGGATGAGGTTACTTCACAAAAGGAAGTTAGAGAAACAGCACTAAATGTGAAGGTGCAAAAGGCAAAGCAAAAGGAAACAGACCATATATAACCTTCATCTGAATGGAGGGAATCAGAACAGGAGAAAGAACAGGTGACATATAATTTAAATAATGAGTAATAAAATTCCACTGAAAATTTAAATGTGGCATTAATGGGGGCCTCTTTTAATTTAAGGTGGTTCCCACTCCCCACCCACTGCAACCTTAACATTTGCTCCAGAGAGTCTGCAACAGATTTGAGAGAGGGCATGGGGGCGGACAAGGGCAACTACACATGGATGTACTGAAACTTCCAGGCTGATCCTTGTTGATAGATAATGATCACCTTACTTTTAATATCAAAGGACAGAGAGCTTGAGAAATGTTTAGGCAACACTGAATAATGCACTAAGAAGTTGGAAAAGCACAACATCTAGAGAGTGGCTTTCAAAGGTAGATCACAACTATCATATTCCACCATCTACTGTATTGTTTGTGTGCTGAGACAATAACCGGTTAAGCAACAGGCTGCTGGTACAATTCACACGGGGCTGGAATCAGAACAACGCTTGGTGAAAACCACATTACTGTGCCACAGATTCAGAATTCTTGCCATGTATTGATTCACTGTGGTTGTGATCCCATCAGAAGCATGTATTGCAATTTACATGCCTCTGTTCATATACATGTCAAGGCTGCTGATGGATTTATGGTATCTTCCGCACTCATGGGGGAAAATGAAATAAATTACCAAAATGATGTGCTATTTTACATCTTGCTAAGCTCTTAAGACGGATTCAAATGATTAAGGCTAGAGAGCATGTTTGGTATTCACAGATATTACTCTGCGTCTATATATAGCCCCTGATATTATGAAAATGTACTTTTGAAAAGGAATTTTAATTACCTAATAAATTGCAACTCATTTCATAATAATGATTAAAAATCTGTTGGGGGGGGGGAATCAGCAACTGATAGTATCTCCCCCTCCAGTAAAGTCAAGCTGGAACAGATTCTCCTTAGATACACCTAATTTACATTTTCTTTGTTCTCATTCTTAAAAAGAGAGAGCAATGTAAGAGAGAAACAAAATTAATCATTTGTTTCTTTGATATAAAAAGATGTGAGACTAATTATTAGGATTAGCGTGGCTAGAAGTGTAATTAGTAAGCTGTAACAAATACCTTCACACCAAGTACAATGTTGGAAAGCAATTATGGCTCTTTCAAAGAGATGTTGAAAACATATCTGACTCTTGGTTTGAGAACACAAAGCCTGATCTAGAGATCTCTCTCTGTGTGCGCATCTGAGGTGCAGATATAGATCTCCTGCTCATGCTTTCCCATTTGTGTCAGTGGAGGTATTGTGTATGCACACACATTATTGTTGCGTATGAAGGCTAAGGCCCCTTCTATATAGGAAAATAGGCAAGCAGGGTGACCATGTGGCTCAGTTCAGGACAGGGATATTGAGGAGGGATATTGCAAGGATTCAAGAAGGGTTCCTTGCCTACTAGAATCCTTGGAATAAGGTTCAAAGCAAGAAGGGTCCTGTTTGCATGGAAAGTGCCCTGGTGCTCTTCAGCACACAGAAAGGACACCGGTGGCAATGCGCAAACTGGTGGACCCTATTTCCCTACCATGGATGGGACTACCATAATCTATAATGCAACAGTTGCCCAACACAAATTAGGGTAAATACAGTCCTTGCTGATCCTCACTGCCCCTGCGACAACCTCAAGCTTCCACAGGAAGTCACCTATGTCCAGCTGGTCCTGACTGTGTGTGTGGGGTGTGTGTGTGTCATACAATATGGTCCCCCTCCCCACAACAATGCTATTGCCGTCTGTCAGGAAGAAGCATACCCCAATACCAGGAAAAATATACAAAAGATGCACAGGTTTGGGGTTGATCAATCATAATAGAGATTGATACGAGGTGACCATACCACACTCGCTTGCTCTTGCCTGTACATGTCTCCCTGTCTCTCACAGACCACACTCATAGACACCATTTCTCACTTACCATTTACGCTTTTTCCTCTCTCACACGCCACACCTCCTTCCCACAAAGACCACACACACACTTCTCTCTTTCCCTCTCTACCACAGGGAACCTCTCTCAATCTCATCCCACCCACAACATTCAAGCCTCTCCTCCTTCCCCATTTAGAAAAATTCCTCTATGCACAAAGGAAGTGCCAGCCATTAATACACAAGGGCCACCAACCTGGTGCCTGTGGGCATTGGGTTAGTGATCCCTAAACTATAATGTCGGCTAGTGAGATGTATTTTAGGAAATTACTCTTTTAGACAAGTATGGATTTTAAAACATGCCTCACGAAGCTGTACAGTTAAACTACAATGGAGACGACTCCCCAATCTGCTTTTCCTTCCTTGTTCCAACTTATGGAAAAGCAGGAGCTCTGTTCTCAAATTGAAAACACAACCATTTTATAATAGCCACATGATGTTTCAGTTATAAGAAGTACTCAATCAAATATAAAAAAGACCCCTTTATCATATTTGGTGGAAAATTCTGTAGGCTTCTTTATAAGACTGATTTAACAGGGCAATCCTCAGCGCCACTGAGTTCACGTGGACATGCTTCCAGGTAAGTGTGTACAAGATTGCTGCCTAATAGAGTATTTTAAGTTTGCAATCTTGTGCACACTTTCTAGGGAGTAAGCCTCATTGAATGCAATGGTGGGTAGGCAAACATAGGTGTCCATTGCAAATTACTAAATAGATACTTTCAAAATATTTTTACATTTTAAACAAGGCCATTTCATGCTATGCACACTGCATACAACTGAGAGAGATTTCCATCAGACTTTAAAAAATGGTATTACTTTGTACTGTGTTGATTTTGTTCAAGCTGCATTTTTAGAAAGAGCGGGTTTTAAATGATTAAATATTAATAATAATTATTGTTGGAGCTTTATCCTCATATTGAAGGACAGAGTAGCAGTTGTCACATTTGTCACGGGATATCCACAAAAATGGCCTCCTGGCCAAATGGAATGACACATACGGGCGCATTAACCCATGAATTTGCTAATCATGTTAATGAAAAAAGATGGTAAAGCGAGTCAAGAGCTTGAGCCACAGAGACAGCTGCCATGCATGCAACGCCACAACATTAAATTGCCCCGTGAACCCCAGTCTCACCCGCAAGCAGTAACTTGTAACCTACCTGTTGCTTGAGAGCTTTTTCCACCCATGGGCTACTAGCATGCAGAATCCCATGCTGGGAACATACAACACTCGCTCTGCTACTACGAAGCCAACAGGAAAAAAAAGGTTGGAGGCTGGGATGAATGGCAACACTATTAAACAAAGTGCCTAAAAAAAGCAAAAGAAAAAAAGACACACAAACACTAGCTAGAATTGCAAATTGTGCATATATTCATATAATGTATTATTCACTACATTTCTTTACCACCACCTTTCTTCTTTGGCACTCTGACATTCATAATAAAACAACAATAATTCTGAAATGCAAACTGCATGCCTTCAGTTCTACCGAAACCATGACCAACAGCACACTTGATCAAATCTGTAGAACAAGTGAGCTGTAAAATGAACGGAAGAAAAATCTTGTTATGGCTTCAGCTGATCCAGATTGCAAGACATGCCTACTCAAGAGTCCTGAATCGCCCGGGGGACTGCTCCTATATTGAATTTTGTTTGAATTCTCACACCATTTCTGTAGCAGGGATGGCTGTTAACAAGTAATAGAGCAGCTGCCAGCATCCTTGCTGTTCACAAATTTTGATTCATCCCTAGAATGAGCGTGTGGGGGAGAGAGAGAGAAAAAAATCATCCTGTCCTAATGTTCACATTGTTCCTAGTGCTACTGGCATGATGTCGCCGTAACCTGACAAAAAAACTTTGCTGCCAACACGGCCCACATTGCATGAACACATTACCGAGGGGGAGGGGAGGGATACATTACAAGGGGCGATAAGAGTAGAGGGGGAAATTGGCAGTCACGAAAGTACACTGCAAAGCAGACAGTGCAAAGTTAGAGATACACTGAAAAATGGGGCAAATGAATGGCAAACTATTGACAAACACTACATACCGTGCAACCTTAAACTATAGCTATACAATGTACCATTTTGATGGTTACCAATAACATTCTTAGGAGCACTGATCTAACTTGGCTTGATATGCTGTCATGCTAAATAATAGAAAGCCATCTTAGGACCTACTAGGTGGTGGTAAGGAATACATAAAAGAGAGTTAATTTAGGGGTTCTGTTCCTGGCCCTCGCGTTCGACAGTACTTTCTACTCTTTTCCAGGTCCAAAAGGACCCACATGTCAGTGAATGAACGCAAAATGGTCTAACAAAGGAAGCAAAGGAGTGGAGCTGAATGAGCACATATGTAGCAAGGATCAATTAATATGAAGCAATGGAATCTGGCAGTGCAAGTCCCTGGTGCATGGCCCCTAAAAGGTGTGTGAACACAGCTCATACCCAAAGGCTCTAAAATGAAGGAAATGGATTTCCCTGTTAACCAGTTTAAGCAGCACTTTAAGGAATCATTCTATCAACACTAATGCATCTTCATTTTCTGGCACTCAGGGCCCTTTGATGCGTCTAGTGTTGGACTTAAAGAGCTTCTCAGAATCAGATTCATGAAGAAACCTGCAAAAAAGTTTCCATTATAATCTGAATATGAATACTTTCAGGTACAGTGGCCGGATGGAGACAGGCACCAGGAGACTGGAGTAGAGGAAGGGTTGTCTGAAAGAATAGCCAAGATGATTTTCTCCTGTGCATTCTGGTCATGGACCATTCTTCCATTTCAATTCTAAATCACAGTGAGACATCACTTACCATCAACACAGTCTTGGAAGAATCTCCAGCATAGCGGAGGCTGAAGATGAGCAATGTTCCCAAAAAGCAGAAGAAGGCGATGGTGGCAACATTTCTGATGTCTAGAAGAGATTCTACCAACGGTATGGTGCCCATCGTCCAATCGCAACACAATTCCGAGGGATTGAGAAGCAGCCAGGCATTCACAGGAAGGAGGTAGTTGAAAGTCAGCTGCCTTGCAGGAGATGGACTGACAGCAGCTGGGTTATCAAACCTAGTTCAAAGCAACAACAAAGGTTCTGTTTTAAACTATTCTGAGTAACAGGAGATCCCAAGACACTGCAAAGAACAGCAGATTCTGAACTTAAATCATAGTAATTTGCCGTAAGAAAAGTTGGAGTGAGGAGAAAAATCTTGAAATCTCCAACTCCATAATTGTTCAAGCTTTGCCAAGATTAACAAATGTAAGCCATGGGCCATAACAGTAAAGTGAATCTGACAGTGTATACTCTTTCTCACTGCTGCTCAGCGACCAGAATGGATTAAGGAGAACCTCAGAGTGTACTGAAGTCCACAAGTGAATCATGCAAGAGTACATCTGGCCTGCAAGGGGGAGGCTACATGTGCCTTCTGATTTCTAACAGCCTGTGTGTAAGTCCCTTTGCCTTCAAGTCTTTGCAATGACCTAATAATGAGTCACAAGTAGAGGTCAAGTTGAGGCCTGTCTGTTCCCCCAGCAACTCCTTCAGGAGCCTCACCTTAGAACAAGAACCACTGAAGAAAAGAGATAGCCTAGTCGTTGTCCGGCTGCATTCTTATCCACCTGAACTACTATAAAATAGAATCAACCTGCCTCATACATTCTGTCTCAATAGCATGAGCTACTGGTGTAGAACTGTGCTTCTGTCAGAAACACACATCAGCCATGCAGCCAGTCATCAAGAACAAGGTTGAAGTATTACCATGAGGTCACTTGCAAAAGAATGGCTAGCATTCTGAAAACGCTCCCTTTAATTCAAAAAGTTGTTTTATTCCATCTGCAATGACAGAACTGGCCATGGCTTGGAGTTAGAAAGATGAGCCACAAGAAACTTCTTCCCTTCCCTCTCTCCTAGCGTATTTGCAATGAGACTGGAAGCTTCCACTTCAATTTTAGATTAACCACAGTTAACAGGCATGCTGCCTGAACCCGAAACTGTGGTTATTAATCTCTACTACAGTCAGTGAAAATAAGATCTCTTCATATCATAACTATGGTTAGCAAGAACAAGTAAAGATTAGCCAGCATAGAAAGCTGTCTTTAATCTAAAATGTACACAAAACCTTTCATATCCTTCCTTGTGGCTTTGCCAGAGGAGGGAGGTCGTTCAAGCCCAAGACTTGCCAAGGCTCATTGTGTAACCCTAAATTGTGATTTAGTAGGCATTTGGTGAGAACAAGATGACCGACAAGATGGACCACTAGACTGATCCAGCAGGCTTTGCATATCTTCTTCTCAAGGACATGAATTAGGGAGATATCTTAGTTTTCAGAGAAATCAAACGATATAAAAGAATATCAGCTCTGCAATAAATCCAAGTGGACATCTGGTGGAAACTTACTCATCACCAAGTTGTAATATTTCATAATGATATAAAGGTAAAGGGACCCCTGACCATTAGGTCTAGTCGTGACCAACTCTGGGGTTGCGGCGCTCATCTCGCTTTATTGGCTGAGGGGTGCATGTGAGGGTGCAGCTTCCGGGTCATGTGGCCAGCATGACTAAGCCGCTTCTGGTGAACCAGAGCAGCACACGGAAACAGTGTTTACCTTCCCGCCATAGTGGCACCTATTTATCTACTTGCACTTTGACATGCTTTCGAACTGCTAGGTTGGCAGGAGCAGTGACCGAGCAACGGGAGCTCACCCCGTTGTGAGGATTCAAACCACTGAGCTTCTGATCAGCAAGTCCTAGGCTCTGTGGTTTGACCTACAGCGCCACCCCATCCCTTAATGATATACTGGGTGCTTTTTCTTTTTCTTTAATGATATACTGAGTGCTTTTTCTTTACCTTGTAAACACTGGCAACTGCGACTGAATGACCTGGACTCTGATCACAACAAGAAGCAGAGTACTGAACATCAGAACTATCAGCTTCAACAGCATTTGGAGCATACAGTAAGGAATGCTGCCTTTGCCTCGGAGAATCTGTAGCACTGTATCCCAAAGAATAGGCAAGGTATACTAAAAAAAAGGGGGGGGAGAGAAAAAGCTTAGTTTTCAACCAAAGTAAACCTTTCAGTGCCATTCACTGCCATGAACCAACACCAGCAATGAATACAGTTATGGTTAGTTAAATTGATAGACCACTTTTCAGTTTTGAAGTTCCCCAAACAGCGTACAATAAAAGCGCAAGCAATAAAGTCACATAAAGGCAACAAGAGGCAGCATAAAGTAAGCACAGCCATAAGTACTGTCCACGAGCCTTGCAGGAGTGAAGTGCCTCTATGGATGCCATTAATGGTTTGCTGCTGCTGTATTTTTTATGGATTCCAGCTGCTGGAAGCTTTTGTGGTGGCTCTATTCAGTCAAAGCAGCCTCTGCAAAGACTCCATAGCTGCTGGGCCATGCAGTGCCCCTGCTGCCATGTACTTCAGAGGTTTGCCAGGCTGAGTTGCTTTCTCTGGGGAGTCGTGGCATGCCAGTGCAGCACACAGGGATGAGCCATCCCATTTCACAGCCCCCGCCTCACTTACTGAGGTTGTACAGCTGTGGCAGCTTCTGGTGAGATCTCCGGAGAACCCGCCACCATGCAACCCCAGTGGTGGCAGGGCACCCATGGGAGTGCCGCCCCACAAGATTTTGCCACCCAAAGCGGCTGCTTCAGTGTGCCTCATGGGCAGTCTGGCCCTGGAGGTGTGGACTGCACACCTAGTCGTCGCCAAATCATTAAGGATTCCCCCTCCCCATTTGTTGGATCTCAGACAAAAGATCTTTCTGAAAATAAAGGCCTAACTATTTTGCTTTAAGGGAGAAATATGCCTACCCACTGACCCATCTATCCATCCACCTGCCTATCTATCTATATCTATGTATCACAGATGGCCAACCTATGGTCCTGCCCATGAGTAGGAAGAAAAACCCAAAATCCAATTTGTGACAGTCCCCTGCAACACAATGTTTATTACCCAAACTTGCAAAATATCTAAGAATGCAGATATTGCATATACACACATTATGAACAACTTCAGAGAACCTTTTCAGTAAAGAAGAGAACGAGGTAGATTCAAGAAACGCGAGGATAGCATGTTTTCCAAGTTAATTTTAAGGACTGGGGGGGGGGGTAGAGGAAATTTATTTGTCTCATTCTCAACCACCGCAATTATAACTTCTAAACCTTGATTAAAAAGTCTTAAAGATCACCAAATTACAAAGTCGGCCTGTTTTAAATTGAAAACATTTCTATTGATATTTTGTTGGGTGCTTGCATGCTCCCCCCCCCCCCAGCTTTTACACTGTAAGCAGCATACATTTACGAAGGGTGATTATTTGATTACTTATTCCCCTATTGGCTCAGAAGTGGATCTCTGGAAATATGAAAGAGTCTGCGCTTTCCTCCCCAGTTGCCCCGCGCTTCTCAGAGGAGCCAGAAGAAAAGCCAGGATTTTGCAATAGGGTGTAATGATGCTAAGGAAGTTCTGTTCAACTGGCTAAATGGGAGGGATGCTTTCAAAACATCTCTAGATGGTGATTAATCTTGAATTGCTTTGAAGACAGGTGAAAGAGGATCCTGAGAGACGTTTAATGAATAGGAAAATTAATCAAAGTCTTAATAAAGAAAGACACTGAAAAACGGTTATATGTAATCACATGATATTATGATGAGGACTGATCTGAGGAGCCAAAATATTTTTATTGGTTCAGGATGATGGGTTGCATTTATTAAGCTTGCTTGGTTTGATTTGTGAATAGAAATCATGTGTGTAAACTGGAAATGTATAAAAGCCCATTTCTTTGGATGTGGTTCTTTTACAGCCTCCTCATTTTTGAGGCTGCCCCTATGCACACTGGTATTTCAATAAAGGCCTGTTTTTTCACTTGAAGCCTGCATCCTTTTTATTTTTGGTTTCTGGGAGGGTAACCTGCAGCCTAGGAACCCCTTTTGAATTTCTCAAACAGTGGCACTGTACCTTGTGAGTCAACCAGCTTGGAATGTTTTTAGTCTGTCTGTTCTGGCACAGCCAGATTGACTAGATTATCTTGAGGTGATTTTTAGTTCTATGCTGCCACAAACCTTTTGAGGGGTGCAAGCCACCCACCCAAGCATGACAAAATAAAATAAGTGGTCACATGAGCACGGCGTATTATCACAAAATTAGAAATGTGCACAATTCTTGGGTTAACCACAGGCTTAGAATGAGATTGCACAAGTTCCTTACCCCTTGAGCTATAAATACTTCATAGACACAACAGATTCCCACCACTGTTATTCCTTGTTCCTTACATAATGTTGCCACAGCCACCAGAAACACAGTCACTGCAATAGGAGTCCACACTGCAATGCAAAAGAGACAAATGGTTAGCCGGCAAAAAATCTAGGGAAAGAAAAAGGTGTCATTTGTAAATGCTGAGAGCATTAGCAATACTTTATGACTTGGGAGCGATCATCAATTCCTTATCCTTTTGTAGACTAAATGAGGAGGGCAAGCCAATCATACTGGGTTGAGCAAAGCGCATTCCTACTGCTAGTACAGTGGTACCTTGGTTCTCAAACTTAATCCGTTCCGGAAATCCGTTCCAAAACCAAAGCGTTCCAAAACCAAGGTGTACTTTCGCATAGAAAGTAATGCAAAATGGATTAATCTGTTTCAGACTTTTAAAAACAGCCCCTAAATCAGCAACTTAACATGAATTTTACTTTCTGACAAGACCATTGATCCATAAAATGAAAGCAATAAACAATGTACTGCAGTCACACAATCAATCAATCAGTAGCTGAACTGGGTTCCACACAGTTACAAAAACAAAACAAAAAGAGCCGCAAAAGCAAAAATGCAAAACAAATAGCAAAAACAGACAGACCTCAGCGTAACAGCCAAAAGGGAGCACACTCAGCTTCCAAAAAAAGTTTGCAAACCGGAACACTTACTTCTGGGTTTGCAGTGTTTGGGTTCCAAGTTGTTTGAGTACCAAGGCGTTTGAGAACCAAGGTAGTACTGTACCGAAAGCTAACAATAATGTATCATTCTCACCTACTGACACAGACTTATAAAGCAATCCTTGTATACACTGCCTGTTTCTGAAGTTTTTAGAGGTGGCAAGTAGGGCTATATGCTCCTTTAATAATGAACCTAAAAACTGGCATTTTAACAAGCACATTCAGATGAAAAGAATCCATCCTAGCAGCTCCTTTCCCACCTGCAGCATCTCCAGGCAGAGTTGAGAGAGACTCCCATCTAAAACCCTGAAAAGCCACTTCCAGGCAGCATAGGCAATGCTGAACTGGTTGGACCAATGGTCTGACTCCTATGTTCCAATGGATAACCAATGGGAACTTCCTATGTTCCTAATGATGCTTGAGGCCAAACAGGGTTTGAATGAGGAGTAAAAACAATCAGAATGCATTGATTTAAGAAGAGTGCCTCTTACTCACACTCACTAATTCTTACCAGTAGTGAACTACTACTGGTATACCACTGGTAGTAAGAACTACTACTACTAGGACTGCACTATTAGTACTCCACCTTTGACAGAAGGAAAGGGAGCACCAGAGACCAACACAAAGGGCAGTTTTGATAGCTTTCTTTTGCGGACTACACCCTTAGAGGTCATTGTGTCTGTGAATAAAACTACATGACCCAAAGCAGGTATTTACCAATCGTGTTTTCTGGACCTCTGGACCTGGTATATGACAAAAAAGCAGCTAGGAAAAAGATGGAGGAGAGAAGCTCTGCTCTGCCCACTACACCAGTTACCTAAACAGAAGAGGAGAGAGTGATCATTAGGTAAACAAAATTAGGATGTAAAGACAGAAGATAAACCAGCTATGCAAGTGATGAACAAAGACTGCAGGATAAATGGAATCCTTAGGGGCACCTGCACCAAAAGTAAACTAAATAAGAAAGCAAAGACAAGTGGAATGAGCTTCCACTACTTTGGCGACGGATGATGTCAAGTACAGCATTATTGTGCCCTCATGTGGCTGATAAATGGAAGTACTCAAATCCTAATTAGGATTGCTCTGTTTTTTATGTACAAAACGTGGTGAGAAAGCATGCCTAACCAATGACATTTTCGGCGGATGCATTTATAGTCTCACCATGTGCAACATGCACAAGTGCTTGCTCAAAAAGACATGCATGTGCCAATTTCCAGAGGGCTCAGTCTTTCCCAGGGCGCCCTCCAAGGGTTACAAGACCACCACCATTCCTGAACACTGGTCATACTGGTTGGTGCCGAATAAAGTTATTGCCCCAAATATCTGGTGGGCACCAGATTGGGAAGACTGGCCTTTGCCTTAATAAATGCACTGTTCATTTTTTGAGGCTTTTAGTAGCTTATAAAAGCACCACAGAGGAACATAGAACATATTCAGTTAGCAGAACCATCTCCCAGGAGTTGAGTGCTTGGAGTTTGACTGTTATAAACCTTCAATGTTGTTTATTTCTACAACTGATCAGCCATGTTTAGAACTTGCATTTCAAATCCATGGTTAAACTTCTACTCCAGTGCTACTCAAAGTGATGGTACACAGGCTGGTGCTGGTCTGTGAGTCATTGGCTGCTCGTCCTCAGCGACTCTATCACCGCATCTGTGAACTGCCCTGAGACTCCCAGGTATAGGGCAGTATATAAATTCAATAAATAACAACAACAGCATCACAGCCCAGCTTGGGCAGGGTGCTTCATGGACCAAATACAGTTGTACCTCGACTTACATACGCTTCAGGTTACAGACTCCGCTAACCCAGAAATAGTACCTCAGGTTAAGAACTTTGCTTCAGGATGAGAACAGAAATTGTGCTCTAGCGGCAGCGGGAGGCCCCATTAGCTAAAGTGGTGCTTCCAGTTAAGAACAGTTTCAGGTTAAGAATGGACCTCCAGAACGAATTAAGTTCTTAACCCGAGGTACCACTGTATGGTACAGGCCCCTGGCATATGGCGGGTGGGGCGGGGATTGCCAGTCCCCCAGATCAGATAGCTTGAGAAGCACTGCTCTACACTGATTTATCTGGCTAAATTCAGAAGCTTCAATTGGTGCAGAAGGCAGCTGCCTGCAGGAACCAAGTGATGGGAGCACGTAATGCCCTTTGCATTGGTTTGTTTCATGGTCTAGTTCAAAGTGCCGCTTGCTGCCTTTGAAGCACTAAACCAGACAATGAAAAGCTGACTAGAATTCAACACCCAGCATCCCTGAGCACTGGACTTGCTGGTTGGGGATGATGGGAGCTGGAGTTCCCCAGATCTGGAGGGCATGATGCAAAAGCTAAGATATTGATGGCACTCACAGACAAAGTGTATCTTTTGAAAAGGGGCTCAAAGAGCAGTCAGGCTTATGAAACTGCCCAAACTGAACATTGCAACAAGAAGAAAGGAAACTGCCTTATATGAAGTTAGACCCTATAGCTCAGTACAGTGGTGCCTCCGGTTGTGCATGGAATCCATTCCAGAGCTCCGGTCGGATCCTGAGGAATTCGCAACTGGAGGTGCCTGTTCCGTCCATGTGCACGGTAGAGCACTTCTGTGCATGCAGCGAAACCCAGAAAAATACTTCTGGGTTTGCTGCATGCGTAACCCAAAGGATACACAACCAGAGGTACCACTGTATGGTCAACATTGGCCACAACTCTCCAGGATTACAGAGAGGGGACCTCCGCCAGTCTAGAGAAATCAGGGGTTGAACCTGGGACGTTTTGAATGCAAAGGATGAGCTATACCACTGACCTTCAGCCCATGCCCTAACAGGGATGGAAAGAAACAGAGAGAGAAAATTAACATATTAATCTAGGCCATCATCCAAAGGATTTGTTCATGCAAATGAACTATGTAGCTAGCAGAATTCTCTTTGTAGTTAACCCTGATACAATTCCCACAGCCAACAAGGTAAGCTCATTTTAAAGACAAGTGACAGCTTACTTCAATGCCTGTCATTGAAACCTACCACAGAGAAGATGACAAAAAAAAAATGCTCCAGTTGTACTCTTGGAATTTTTTTTTACCGTGCCAAACCAACTTCTTGAGATTGTTGGAATTTGAAAGTTGACAAATTCAACACACCATGGTCTGATTTAGGTCTGGCTCAATACAAGGCCGCTTTCTATGTTCCTATTCTCCTTCCCAAGATAGATACAAGACTGTCATTGCTGACAGCTTGTCATTTGTCGTTAAGAGAACTATTCTTTAACAAGAACTCAACGGAGCCTTTTCAGGCTTACTTACCGCTTCAGTGTGTATTGGATGCACTGCGAACAGTAAGGAAGCAACCAAACTGCTCCTGCTGTCCAGGAAAAGCTTACAGACCTTGAGGAAGACAATACAAACAGCTGCATGGAAGATGACGTTCAGGAAGTGGTAAGAGACAGCATTTAACTCGCTGAACAGGTAGTTCAAACGGAACGTGAGCACAGTGAGCGGCCTGTATGACTTGTGACTTCGCTCCTAAAAAACAAAAACACACAGACCCACATGTAGATCGAACTGGGGGGGGGGGGATATATCCATCTTTGTGGTAAAATAGCTCAACTACAGCATAAAATCAGAAGCCTAAAAGCAAGACGCATTGCAAATAGTTGAGTCTTCCCAAGAAGGCAGACACCATAAAAGAAAACCTCCCAATATTCAGAAAGGTATTGCTCAGATGCAGGCTTCACAAATATGGTCACTAGCGGCAAAAAACCCTACCTTTAAGCAATACAGTCGTACCTCAGCTCCTGAACCCTTTGGGAGATGACCATTCTGGTTCCCAAACACCACAAACCCAGAAGTGAGTGTTCTGGTTTTTGAACGTTCTTTTGGCAAGCCGAACGTCCAATGGGGCTTCTGATGCTTCCAATTGGCTGCAGAAGCTTCCTGCAGCCAATCAGAAGCCGCGCTTTGGTTTTCGAACGTTTCAGAAGACGAACGGACTTCCAGAACGGATTCTGTTTGACACACACACAAATCCCTGCCCCTGAGACTGCTGGGCATTGTACAGAATTCATAAGAAAGCCTCATACTCTACATTAATAAAGCTCAACTCAATGTGAGACCTTCCCACTGCTCTCCCAAGTCTGCTGGCTTGCGGAGAAGACTCGAGGGAAGCTTGGGAAGTTCCTTGATGTCCTTCTGAGCTATGGATGCATTCACCCCAATTCTGCCTGTTCAGCCCAGTAGCATAAAAAAAGAACACAATCCAACTCCCCTGCAAGTTTATGTCCTTTGATTATTTGTTTACTGCAAACCTTGCAGTTTTGCAGATGGGGCTTGGTGTCTAGATCATACAAGCAGAGCCCTGCAACAAACTGCTGAAGATAGGAGGGCTTCTGTTCGGGGTTTCAGCCACTCTTTCCCTTCTCTGTCTGTGCCTTGTTATATCTTTGCCAATATATGATTGTCCTAATGTGGCCAATGTTTCAGCTCAGCAAGACACTTTAAAAATGCTGTCAATATTTCTACAGGATGATAATCAGTTACCTCAGACATAGGAGTCCCCCAGAAGTCATTCAGGAAGAGATTTTTTAACGGAGTGGAAGGATGCAAATCTTTGTTGTCCAAAATGGCTGAAACGTCGTCAAAAACAAAGCCACAAAACAGGCTGTTCCAATAGCAAGCTGCCACCACTCCAACTATTAGTGCAATTTCCTTTAGGTTAACATAAGCCATCTTCTCCGGAGCTCTCACAAATTATAGCTGTGGAACAGATTCAAACATGTCTTAATCTTTTTTTCCCATAAAAATCGGCATTTGCAAATCAAAATGGCTAATTTAACTAGCACAGCCTTTGCCAACCTGGTGCCCTTCAGAGTGTTTAAATCCAAGCCATATATTTCAGTGTTCTCACCTACTGGTATTTTACCAGTGCGGTCATATGAATGGTGCAAAGGAGAAACCGACAAACCTGAATCCTGAGACAACAAGAGGAGTCAGGGTAGTAGCGTTCATCCCTGTTTTAGGTGGCAAGGGAATAAGATTTTAGTCTGCAATCCTATACCTGGGTTCAGGGCCCTACTGAACACAAATGATGATTCCTTATGAGAATACAAACTTAAGATTGAGCTGCTAGATTGAGTTTATAAGAATCATAGAAGGAGAGAATTGTAGAGTTAGAAGGACCCTGAGGGTCATCTAGTCCAATCCCCTGCAATGCAGGGATATTTTGCCCAACATGGGGCTTGAACCCACAACCCTGGGATTAGGAGTCTCATGCTCCACCAACTGAAGTATCCCAGCAGTAAATAATTACTCCTAGCTCACAGCGCTATAGTTTCATAGCTCTGTCTCTTAACCTCTGTACGGTGCTGGTCTCCAGAAGCAAATTTATGGAAAATTCAAAATATTCTTTCACTAGTTGTTGCTTGTCAGGGTTTCAGGTCATTTCCCACCTCCATCAGTGAGATCAACCACATTATAAAAAAACAATACGGGAATTAGTTGCAGATACTGGCTTCTATTAACAACCTGGGGTTCACATTCTGATCTCAGGAACAAAGAGACATGCCCCAAAATAACACAAAGAATGCCTGCTGCTAAAAAGAAAAATTCAGTTATGCTCTTTATATTAGAAGGAAACAACTACCTAGATTTTATCTGGGGTGTGCATGTAATAATTTAAAGCTGTATGAACCTGATGACCAGCGTCTGCTGAACATCTTTAATAAAATCTTTGACTTACGTTTCAAGCACAGTATCTCTTCATTTAAGCATTCTCTTCTTTAAAAATCTGTTTTGAAGTCACTGTGACCAGCACTGGATTTTTATGGATCTTTACTAGAAAAACAGAGAATAATAATAATTATTATTAGCAAGATAGTTAACATTTTGCTAAAAGAACTGTGATTTCCCCATACAGTTACAAAGCCCTCACACCCAGATAGTTGAAAGCTGACAAAATATATATTTTAAAATACTGCAAGGTCTAACAAACAGGATCGTATACAAATAATCGTATATACAGGAAATAATTTAGGAAACCACTCTTTAAATCACTTCCAAAACCATCTTCTGTTTCAATGCCTAAATAGGGCTTTCCAACTAGCAAATGGAACCCCATTAGTTTATATCTATTTTATAACTGATTTTATAGATGTAAATAGCTTAGAATTCAACTTGGCATATAAGCAGTTTATACATTAATAAACAGTAACTAGTAACATTTGAAGATATCTTGGTCTCTAATATATCAGAACCGGTATATTATTGTAGCATGTTACAATGTACACGTCCCACATGTACAGTTAAACATTTAGGTGGAGTGGGGAGGAAGTTTTTAGCAATTCCCCCTCCCTACATCCCATAAATCTGCTCCAGAGGATTGGGGGAGTCCCCAAGGGGCTGCAAGGGACAGCGGAAGTTGCTAAACATTGCTTGCCTTCCTCTTCTGCTCACAAAAGCTTTAAAGTCAGTCTTGAAAGTGTGTGAAGAATGCTCAGAAGAGGGATCATAAACTCAGAGGTTTAGCCCATGCTTCACCTAGAGAAAATTCAATTTATGTCTGACTAGGAGAAACAGGTCAAGTTTTACAAAAGTGAACAATATACCTATACTGCTTTAATTTTGCACAAAGCTCACATTTTCTTTGTGCACCTTTTTTTTGGGGGGGGGTGCAGAGTCAAAAATACACAGCATTCATAAAGATCTATGTGCAAGAGCTCTTTGCCATTCACCTCACTGATCACAGCCAGATGCATATATGTGCACAGAGCAATTCTAAAGCACCAGTATGAATATGAGTGTCTCTCCATTTGTGCAATGTTCTGCTTGCCTATTTGTAATAATATTATAAAAATTGTCCAGTAGCACCTTAGAGACCAACTAACTTTGGTCTCTAAGGTGCTACTGGACAATTTTTTATTTTTTAAATTTCTTTTGACTACGTCAGACCAACATGGCTACCTACTTGAATCTTGCATATTTGTGTCCTTCAGAACTTCAGGTGAAGAATTCATTTCCAGTACAGTACACATTTATGTTATGGAATAAAAAATTGTGATGTGGGGTGGGAATTTTCTAGCGCTTTGCTTTTCCATGGAAATCTGTCCATTTTTTTGAGTTCATTGCTAATCATTCCAATTGCAAATACAGTATTCGGCAACCATTTTTAGCTTAATTGACTCAGTACTGTATAAGTAAAATAAACATGTTATACTAGATTACTCTCTAGGGCATTATAAATTTTTCCATGTAAATTGCTTCAATTTACTTAGGAATGTTTTCTATGCCAACATTTTCCAGAAAACACACATCCCTAAGATTCTACAGCAGAGAATTAAAACACGCTTAGTAGGGTTGTCTCTCTCTCTCACACACACACACCTTTGGTGTGATGCATAGGTGAGAAATCAGAAGACAGTGAATGTATCTCACACTCTGGGAATTAGAAAATAAAAACAACCAAACATCAGAAAGTTCACAAGCTGTCAGTTAAGATCTCCAGAAACACACTACAGAGGAGAAAAAGAAAAGATGAAAACCAACAAAGAGAACTCTGTCTTCTTTCTTCCTAGTGCTATTTAAAGAGCAATTAAATGGAGACCTGCCTGCCATAATGCACACAGAAGGGATGCAATTTTTATGTCAGGGAAGATGTCGCTAGGATATAGGCACCCAATGGGGAATGGGCAGGCTTCTGATACAAACTAAAAGGTGTATATAGGAGTCAAAATCTACATTGAAAATGGATCCTTCCTTTCATGTTTCCCTCTTCTTCTCTCCCCACAGGGTTCCTCATCTTCCTTTGGTACTTAGCAAAAACCCTCCAGTCCCGCAGGTCTTCCTCCTACTTCTACAGCACCAATTCCAGCAGCATCAAGCTACAGCCGAGCAGCACCAGCATATGACCCAGTGAGGGGTCACATTCTGCTTGGATGTCCTGCCTTGCCTCCTGTGGAACTGAAGGCCTCATCCTACCTGCTTCGGAAATCCAGACTTTCAGGGATCACTTTGTCCTTGCACTGCTCATAGCTGAGTGGTTGGCGTACAGGCTATTAAAACCTGGAACCCTCCATGCCTGTCTCTCCCCTATTTATCAGGGGTATCTTGCCTCTAACCTCTGTCTCCGTAGAAAGCGCTCATACCTGTTGATTACGTGCGAGGGAACTGTTGCAAAGAGGAAACCACGTCCACAAATTGTTTTAAATGCAGTATTCTTTCTATATATATTTATGTATTTTTTTTTAAGGGGAACTCTTTTTGTGACTCCTTTTCCTAACAAAAAAGGACCGCTCTCCTGCTCCGCCATCGGTTATGAGGCATGTCGGGGTATGTGATGGCAAAAAATTGGATAGGTATTGAGAGCCTGGATAAAAAAACACCCTGCAGAAATACAATGGAAACAAGTTAGAAATTATTCTGTTGCACGTCAGCCCAATCTCTGAGCTGTGCGAGGTTCCAGGCACTTACCCAGGATCCGTGTTTCCTTCACAATGGGCCACAGCGGAGACTGTGGTGTCTTTGTGATATACGGTTTATTTACACACATCTATACAATCTGAGCCATGATGGAAGTGCTCACAGCATTAATATCCCAAAAGGATCTTGGATTCAAACAGACATCAGACATTGCTCTCTGCCCCTCTTCTAGTTTACATCACAGCCCCCAAACTCTACTCCAGACTCTGGCATTTGTCTTCTCACTATCTGCAAGTTGAAGGAGGAGCCTGTTTGTTGTCTCACACAGAGCTTCAGTCTCTTAATCTGGAAGCCTCATCTAGAAACTAGCCTGGCATATATTTTAACACATGCTGGATCCAGGCATTAGAGGGTCTGGTACCTCTGAACAATACTTCATAACAATACTATAATTTGCAGAAAGAAAGAAAAAAAATCCTTTGAAACAACTTTAACTCTCACTAACAAAGCAGAAGCAGCCAAGTTCATTGCCAGACTTGTAAATAGGATCAAAGGACCTAGCAGAAGGCGTGGAAAACTGGAAGGAGTGAAAACAACTACTTTGGAAAAACAAATGCAAGAACACCACAGGACTGCTGAGTGGGCTGACTCTCTTTGGATTTTCTGAGCATAGAAAAAGTCTAGATTTATGGAGGAGAAAGTGTGGGACAAAAGTAGCTGAAGGAGAATGTTGCATGGACGAGGCGGAATTAATCGGATCAGAAGGGGTGCAAAATCCACATTCTGCCAAGGTGTGGACAGACCCGAACAGTCCTTTCTGTGTGTATAAGAACAACAGCCCCGTGGTGTATCCAACCATACAGGCATTTTCATCCTGAAACAATAGCTGCAATAGCTCTTTCTCTCTTTTTTTAAACTGTAGTGTGGAAAGCTGATAAAACTCTTTTTGTAATTCAAAATGCATTTGTTAGAAATCCTTTGCGGCAGATGCTTTGCTTCACTTCACCTGGATCAAGTAACTCTTTCAAGGGTGGGGTCCCTCCGATGATGCATTCCTCCCTCTTTGAAAACACCAGCTGCTGCAGAACCAGCCCAGCAACACGCCCCCCCCCCCCCGCCGTTCCCTTACTGGCTGTGCCCCACCCAGAGCATGTCCAGCAGCACTCTCTCACCAGCTTGCAGGCTTCCTGTTCCCTTCTGGGCACAATTCAGAGAACAATAAAGCCATTTTCTTCGGGATCAGAAAGTACTGACCAAAAATAATCGTCGTTCCGTGCCATTTGGCAGAATAAAGGAGGGAGGTGGGGAAAGCAAGCATCAACTTACGTCACAGGACTCCAGAATGATCACACTTGTTTTAGTACCAAGATCACACAATATATTTGGGGAGGGGGGCACCCTTCATTTTTGCTTTTCTCCAGCCTTCCCCAACCAGGTGCCCTCCAGTTGTTTTGAACTACAACTCCCATCAGCCCCAACCAGGGCTGATGGGAGTTGTAGTCCAGAACAGCTGGAAGACCTGATTGGAGAAGGCTGCTTTTATCAGAATATAATGTGGTAGCCCAACAGGCTTTTCTATAAAAGTAGGCATACATTTTGACAGCTTCAATGGGAAGAACAGCTTCTCAACTAAGTCCCAGTATGTTTCTGAGCACAATTCAAAGTGTTGGTGTTGACCTTTAAAGCGCTAAATGGTCTCGGCCCAGTATACCTGAATAAATGTCTCCACCCCCATCATTCTGAGGTCTGGTTCCCTCCCTGCAAGAAGTGAGATTACAGGGAACCAGGCAGAGGGCCTTCTCGGTAGATGTCAAGGAAATAAACTACTATCTGACTTTTAGAAAACATCTGAAAGCAGCCCTGTTTAGGGAAGTTTTTAGTGTTTGATCTTTTATCGTGTTTTTAATATTCTGTTGGGAGCCGCCCAGAGCGGCTGGGGAAACCCAGTCAGATGGGCGGGGTATAAATAATTATTACTAAGACAATAGAATTGAATGTACTGGTAAGAGAGACTCCAGCATGAAACAGTTGAACTAGACCATTATTTATATGCTGTTGGAAAATTAGACTTGTAGGGGCAAAGCAGAGTCTACAACCAAATTAATGCCACAAAAATGTAAGCACATAGCAAACCCAAGAGGAGTCTTGGGGCAAGATTCATACAGCTGCCCTGCTGGACAGTTTTGTTTTTTAAGATACAAAATTATATTTATTGACCCATTTATAACTAGGGGCTGTGCCTCAGCTCGCACCACTTGCCAGCCCCCCAGCCATTTCCCTCTGACCCACTGGATCTTCCCACCCCATTTCTGGAGCTACTTTTCTATTCTACGCCCCCATGCACTAGCCTCACCCCCCCCTTTGTGAAACTGCACCTTGCACACAAACCACCCCATGGTGAGCGGTATCTCCCTCCCCCC